GAACTGTTACCATTTCAACCTGTAGTCAGTGTGGAAAATCATTAATGAGATATTTATTTATTTAGTTAATTAATTAATTTTTATTAATGAGATAGTTTATATTATTTTTTCCTGCTACGTCCTTGAGTCCAGCGGCTGTTTTACACTCCAGCACATGGAAGTTCAGATGGGCCGCATCTTAGGTGCTCAGTTCTGCACTGGGCGGCTCAGCCCCAGAATGTTAGGAGGTGGCGACGCTCTGGAAAGAGAGAGCACAGGGGGGAGATCAGGAGCGCTGGGTGGGACAGGTTGCGAGTTTGACTACAGTGCTCAGGGTAGTCCTCAGAGAGGAGGTGAAGTGGGAGCAAAGACTTGGAGGTGAGAGTTTCCTGTCAACATCCCTGGGGACAAGCATTCCAGGCAGAGGGAACAGCCGAAGCAAAGGCCTGGCAAGTTCAAGGACGGGCAAGGTGGCCAGTGCAGCTTGAGTGAGGAGGGGGGAGCTGAGGGGAGCTGCAAGGGACAGTGGGGGGGGGGCAGAAGGTGGGGGGCCCTGGGGGCCTCCTCGAATGCTGGGAGCTCCCGAGGGAGTGGCCTGAGCTGAGCCTTCCTCCTCAGGCCTCGAGGTGCAGGAGCCGGAGAAACGCCCTCTTGCCCCTTCCCTCAGCCAGTGACACCATGTGGACGGGGGGCTTGGGAGTGCAGTCCTTTCAGCACCAGAGTACCGGTGGGGGTCTCCGACAGCCCAAGAATTCGGGGATCCAGGCCACCTGGAGCCAGTCCTTGGACAAGGAGGCCTGGGCCCCCAGCTCCTCCAAGGCCTACCCTGGGGCCCTGAGATGGAGCTGGGATAAGCCTGTGGACAGAGGGGACAGCTGGTCCCCAGGAGCAGCTCCTCGCCAGGGCACCGGCTTTGCCTTGCGGCCCTCGCTGCGGAGGCCGGCTCCGGGTGACCCCCCAGCTGAAGGAGACGGGCAGAAGTGGGCAAGAGAGCTCGCTGCCTGGTCTGGGCGGGGAGCCAAGGACCATTCACTGGGGAGGGTGACCTGGGCCCATCTCTGAGCTGTATCTGGTTTGTGAGGGACCTGAGAATAAAGCTGAGGTACGACCACCTGAATTTGTGCTCTGTGTCTAGTGGTGGTATCCAGGAGTCCCAAGGCACCCACCATGTACACAACCGAAGTCTGTGTGGGCTGGGGTCCGTGCCCATTGGCTTCCTCACCCTGCCCAGGGCGGCAAAGGGCTTTCTTCGAGGGACGGGCTAGTCGGGCTCACTTGGATGTCCCAGTGGGGTGGGGAGGTGTGGGGTTCTGGGTAGCCCAAGTCTGGGCTCCGCCTTTGCTTAGAAGGTGGGGTCTGGGCTCCAGTGGAGCCCCAGATGCTCCGCCCCCTCCCTCTTCCCTCCTTTTACTTCTTCTTGCCTCCTCATCCTCTTTCTCCACCCCTCTAGGGTTGAGCTCCTCCCCAGTGGGTTCTCAGCCCAGTGGGATGTCACCTAGTGTCACGGGCTTTCATGGAGGGATAAAGAGGTGGGAAGGACACTGGTCTCTGACCAGCGCTTCCAGAACGACGCCCAGGAAAGGGGCAATTAGGCTAGGTGGCAGGACGTGAGTCAAGGCACCCAGGGCCGCCCGGGGTAGGGTGGGGCTGCCAGGGCTGAGGTGAGGCAGCCTGAATCTGGGGGTGGCCAGGCCAGCCTCCCCAGGGTGACCGGCAGCAGCCTGACTCATGGGGTTTCCACAGCCCCCCTTGGGGATAACTGACGGCTCTGCTCTCCTCTCAGCCCAAGCTTCAGAGTGTGGTGAGGTGGGAATGGACCCCCGGCCTCCAGCAGGGCTGAGGAGCTGAAAGCCCCTCCCCATAGGCCTCAGCCTGAGGGCTCTGATGGCCACCCTGCTCTGTGGGTGGCTCCTGTCAGTCGTCAGGGAGGCTCTGGAGGACAGGCCAGCCAGGGGCCCTGGGCTGGACCGTGAGAGGAGGCCCCCTGTGAGGTTACTTTGGGCTCTGTGCTGGGCTTGGGGACGACGGGACAGAAGCACATGAGAGGTGCCTGGCACTGGTTGGGCTGCGAAGGGTGGCTGGGGGCTGCGGGGCTTCCACAGGCCCACTCTGAAGAGATTGGTCAGGCAATCAGCCACCCCTCCTGTCACAGAGTTGGGCTTGGCTCCAGTACCCTCTCAGCGCCCCCTGCAGGTGCTCCCTGGGCAGGCGCTGCCCAGAGACAGGGTGGTCAGGGCCCCTGAGCCCCCAGGCCCTCCCCTGCACAGGCAAGTCCACACTTGAGTGAGAGGTGCTGGGCAGAGGCCTCCAGGGCAGCACCTGGAAAAGGAAAGGTAGCCCTGAGGCTTCAGGCTGTCAAGGAAACCTGCACATCCCCTCCCCCTCTTCGTCCTGGTCAAGGAGTGATCAAAACTGAGTGAGTGAATTGAGATCTCTATGAAATCCCTCCCTTTGGCTGGCGGCTAAGAACTGGACAGAGATGCATGGCTGCCCTTCGGCCTGGCACCCTGGAGGGGGCGGCTCCAAAGCGCCTCGGTGCCCCCCCCAGCCCCCTCGTGGCGCGGGCTCCCGTGTCTCCTCCCCGCTGGCTTCAGCGGGCACCCGGGCAGACACCTGGCTCGGGAGTGGCCACCCAGTAGAAGCTCCAGGTTCTCCCCGGACCCCAGATGCGGCTCCCCGGGAGGGTCGCACGGGGTCCCGGAGCGCACAGCCCTG